GGGGACGGGGGTCGGGGGGGCCGGCACCGACCTGAGCCCGGCTGGGGGGAACTTTGTGCCCGAGGAGGGAGGCGGCGCGGTCCCCGCCCGAGGATCGCCCGCCCCGGCATGGCCTTGCGACTTTATTTTCCGCTCTTTTGGGTCGTTGTAGAAAGCAGGCTGCTCGTTCTCCCTAGATCAGGACAGCCAATTATCTTAATAATATTTCCTCCCATAGGCAATTAAGTAAGTCTCTCCTTCGCTATCTGAAAGATAATGAACACTTTTTAAAGAGAAGGCTTTCTCTCCCCCCACTTTCTTTTTCCAAAGCGTAGGATTTCAGATTATTGTGCTTTTTACTAGTTGTGTGTGTACCTGTGGGTAGTCTTCAAACGGAGAGCTCTCTAGACTACCCCTTTCCCAAGTCTGCAGTTTACGTGCAACTTGCACAGTGCCAAGAGAGAAGCTGAGCTTCTCTGTGAAGGCTCAAGACTTCCTTCCAAGAGAGAAATCCCATAACAAATGACTGATGTAGCTAGTGTACTATCAGGCAGCCCTTGAAAACACAGCTAATTAAAAGCAGCGTGCTCCTCCTTCCCCGAACAATGCCAGGGCACCGTGAATATTTCACTGCACGATGCATTTTTAAAGATGGTCTAATTGTGGGACTGCTTGACGTTTAGCGCTCACACATGAAACAGCTTGTGTGAGTTTTCCTTTCCCAACAAATCCTGAGCAATTATTATTAACTAATTATCAAATATTTACTTTTGCCTGACTGGGTTTTCAATCAAAGTAATTAAAAGAAGAGAGCACCCTCCACTTACGCTGGTATATTGTTTTAATAAGGGTCTGCAAGTGGAGTGTCATGGAAGAGAGAGTATTAAAATCGCATGGTTTATGATGGAAGTTAATCTCTTTCCCAATATGTTTTGAGGAGGCTGCTTAATTTAATCAGGACGAGCTGCCTCTTCCAGCATCAGAGGAGCTAGTGGTGTGTGCCAAGCCCAGCTTGGGGATGCTTGAGGTGCGCTTTGCTCACCCCCCCAGCCCAGGTGAGGGGTGCAGGCAGTTGCGTCCCTGGCTGCCACATAAACCAGGACTGGCCCTAGTCCTGCACCCTCTGAGGGGTGGGAGGGTGCAGCCAGTGCTCTTGTTGGTCATTTCTCCCCATTAAAAGAAGGCGGGTAGGGCAGGTTGCTGGGCAGAAGGCTCCACCATGAGCGGTTAATGTGGTGGCCCTGCTGGAGTCACCAAGGCCATTAACCTCCTCTGTAACCTACCAGACCTACTAATGCTACCTTCACCTACATGCAGTACTAGCGTCCACTAAATTAATTCATTAACCTTATTTAGAACTAATGGTCCAAAGTCATTAGAAACTGCTCTTCTTAATCAAGTGTGAGAGAGATTGCACAGAGCCAGGGAGTCTAGCAGACCGCATTATCTTATTACACTGTCACTTTCCCAGAAGTCACAGATTAAGGAGCACTGGTGGTAGTGAGTCCACCTCAGCGTCCTCTGAAGTGACTCTGTCAAGTGACTAGAAGCAGCACTGCTTTATTTCAGGCATTTAACAGATGCCAGACTCTGCCATGTTGTTTGCAGGGCTGGAGTGGGCTTAATGAGACAGGATCACTTTCCGAGTGTGCTTACACAGGGAGGAAAAGGCAAGATTCCCTGAGAGCCCCAGACAGCGGATTAGTAAGATCACCAGTGACAGCTTTTGAGCTTTGAGCTGCAACGCCTTTTGTTCTGGTTGGAGGAAAACAGCCTGTTTTGAAAAGGCAGAGCAGAAATAAATAATAAGATAGCCTTTCCCAGCAACATGCTTAGCAGTATCTGTGTTTTGACCATACAGCTGAGTACGTATCATCACCTTCCCTCCTAATTTATGGCAAATAATTTCTATAAAGAGTGTAGGTTTATGCATTTTTGATGTGTGCTTCCTCATTCATTTCCATTTGACCTGTTTTTCCTGCAATAAAGTCCTGTACATTTATAAATTCATGCTGAGAGCAAGTAATGCCATTTTACTTTTGCAGGGAATGTATTAGATACAGTACTACAGCCTGTATATACCATTATTGGGATGTAGTGATATATAGTCTTGCTTTTTAGTGTGGACATTCTTCCTGTCTGTAGTTTACTATTGTATTTTATTGCTCAAAATTAAACAATCAATGTGTGGGGAAAGTTTTCCTCCCTGAAGATCTGTAGAAAGAAATCCATAGTAGTAAAAAAGTGATAACACAAACCTGCATTGGACAGTGAAGTGAGTAACCCTGTAGGCTGGATTTCTTGTCCCTTTTTATTTTTCCTATAAACCTTAAAATGCAACCCTGATAATGCTGGCCCAAGGAGCAAGATGTAGCATACCACATTTCACAGTCACACTTGGTGATTCTGGAAACTTTTGCAACTATTTTGCTATTGGACATAAATCTTTGTTGTTGTTGGGGGGAGGAAGGGACAGAGGGGAGAGGAAAGGATGTTGTTCTGCTCCATTACTTTGATGCAGTCTGCAAGCATGAACAAACTTCCTTGAAGGAATAAATAGTGGATGATTTCTGCTTCACTAAAACCACTTTGTTCTCTGCTAGCCTGGGTTTGAAGAACACAGATAGTTTTGACCTGCCTAGATTTATGGACTGATAAAACAAAGGGAGGGTCTGCTGCGAATGAGCTTGGATCCACCAAGACAATCCCAGTGGTCAGTGACACAGACCAGGCTTATCCCATAGCTGGACAGGGGGTCAAATGACATCCTTTTAGCTCTCCTCCCAGCTTTCCTTAACGCTTCAGACTTAGGAAGATTATACTTTTTGGAGATAATTGAGTCTCAGACACCCTACTGAGTCAACGTTAACACTTTTGTGAGGATGCAAGGTTTTAATGCTGTAAGGGACACTGTTTGCTCGGGGTGGGGGGCTTTTTAAAAGGATATTGTTTAGAAATGGTGTATCTTCTGCTACCTGCTGCCTGTCCGGCTGCCAGCCTTAAGGATGAGCATGGAGAAGCAGGCCTCTTTCCTTTGGGAAAATGTAGCAGAGATGCCGCTGTGTTAAAAGACATAAGGATGCAGCAAAACTTTGCTCGAAGAAGCCATAACCTCCCCAGCATTCCCACGGTGGTCAGCTGGTCCGCTGCTGCGGGCTGAACCTGGGTGTTTGCCGGGGGATGGGGGTGGAACTGAAAAAAAAACACCACCAACAATAAAAACAATCTGTTTTCTTCCCCCGCCCCCAGATAAGTGCGGTGACACGATCAAAATTTTAAACCCCGGGTACCTCACCTCTCCCGGCTACCCCCAGTCCTACCACCCCAGCCAAAAATGCGAGTGGCTGATCCAGGCTCCGGAGCCCTACCAGCGCATCATGATCAACTTCAACCCCCACTTCGACCTGGAGGACCGCGACTGCAAGTAAGTGCGGGCGCCGCGCTGAGGAG